TATAATCTACCACGATATCGTTACAGCGCATTGGCATTATTAGTTCCAGTACGATCGTTAAGGTTAGGCATTTGAACAGCGCATAGTCACCTAAAGATGCTGACCGTGTGACACGAGATCGAATCCCACGCGAATCTCACGAATAAATGAAACGACACAAAATATAAAATGCCAGTTTTTTTTTATTATTTAGACAAAATAATACTTCATTATACTTTTCTAAATATTTTAATTAATAATAATTTTTCACTGAATTTTTCTACTCTCTTAATAAAATATTATCGAAATATTAATGAAATTATAATGAAATTTTAATGAAATTAGGTCAAAATTGTGAATGCTTTTCAAACATATTTCAGCAAAAGTTCATTATATTTTCAATGAATTATTTCCATCAGATACAAATATCTCAATTGAGATCTTACATGCGAAATTTTGCGGAAACCTCAATTGAGAATTCAATTGAGAATTTAATTGAGAATTCAATTGGGAATTCAATTGTGATCTCAATAGAAATTTTTCAGTAGGGTAGTCTTATATAGTTATATTAAAGTAATAATGAAAAACATATTTTTTAATGTTGCAGAATTTATATTAATTCTATTACATTACTGTATAAAATACAGTAAGTGGTACATACTATTATTTGTAATAATAATAAATAAATACATATGTATAATATGTATACTATAATTTTTACTTATTTATTATAATATATAGCTTTTTACATGTTGTTATATGTATGTTTATATATTTTGTATATATGCAAAAGTTTTAGTTTTTATTTCTCTTGCAAGTTTTTACTTTATTTTTATAATATATAAAATATAATTCATACATAATGTTGTTCTCTCTTTCTTCTGCCATTTTTCGGGTAAGCTTCTTATACCTTTGAAGAAAAATAATTGGCTTGAGGACAATGAAATTATTGATATAAACTAGAAAAATTATATATACATCTGATATTCATATGTATTTATGTATGTACCCACAAACAATATATTAAATCATATATATTGCAAAAGTTACATTTTATAAATTCAGCATATATGTTTTTCATTAAATAAATTATATGTTTTAATGAATAATTATTAATGTATTATGTTATTTTCATCCACTGTCTATAAGAAATTATAATTGACTACACATATAAAAATTGCATATTTAATAAATTATTAATTAGTTAATTCCTACACTAACAAAATATCTGTTATTATGAATATTGTAATGTATATTTGCTAATTTTTCAATTTAATACGCTCCATCTAGACACGACTATATTGTCACTATTTGTCACTATACTTGTACTTGTGTATTTTGTGTGCATACATTTTATAGGTATGTATTGCATCTATAATTTCAATTTAAACGAAGATAACGAAAGATAATAAAAATATAAAAACAATTGTTAACTTTCATCAACAAAGTATTTGTAAGGTCGCAAGAATTGCAGACACATAAGAACAGAATAGCATTTTATATTTAGCGAAAATACGCTAGACGAAGATACGTACACAGATTTTTTATCGCATGTTATAGTGCAATAGTCAACTAACTTATTTATCTAGTTATGGAGAGAATTGAGCATTATATTATTAGTTAGTAATAGATGTTAGACACAGGTTGATTACCTTGCGGCTAGATACCGACAAAATTCAATTTCTACTAGACTTGTACGTCCACTGTTTAGCATCATAAACTGTCGTTGTGCCAATGGATCGTCAACAGATTCGAGCCCTCTTGGATAAAATCTTGTTTACAGAGTTTGTCCCATCGCATTGTTCGCACTTATTTGCTAGTATTGTTTAATGAAAGCTTTAATAACCATAGTGAATACTATTTACAAAATGGTACAGGACATGCCTGTTCAATTTAATATGGTGTATCTAAACACGAGCATATTGCTATTAATTAGTCTGTTTGTCATATTTGTATATTATATGTATATATTTTTAAGGTATAGTGATGTGTCCTGTTTTTTATTTAAAATTATACAAGAATAATAACAAATGCTGAAAACATAAACACAATCGTTAACTTCACCGACAAAGTTAGACATTTATAAGATCGTAAGCATCGTTGACTTATCAGAAAGAAATAACAATTTATACTTTACGGAGATACGTTAAGCAGAGGTACGTGCACAGGTTTTACATCACATTTTGTAAAAAATGTATTAATCGTATATTAATGCTTTTAAAATAATAATATTAGTAAATGGATAAAATAAACGTACATGTAATATAACCATTAAGAAATATTATAAATAAATAAATATATATATATATATATATATATATATATATATATATATATATATATATATATATATATTATGTTTATATATTTGCTAGACTAGCGAGTCGTAATAACAAATCTGTTTTTCTTGTAGAACTAATTTTCGCAGTAAAAGGTTTAGTAAGAATAGAAATACTTCGTTACAGATACTAATGAACTACAGTTCAACTATAGTTACAACTACAGTTACAACTACAGTTACAATAACAGTTACTAATGAAAAAGATATTGGAATTCCAGTGAATATGGTTCAGTTTTATGAATATGTTTTATTTGCAATTTTTTTTTTATCTGACACGTTAAGCTACTATGGAATTAAATTATTATCTAAGACGTTTAACTCCCCTCAAAATGTTCCTTGTTCTTACAAAGTAATTAAAAAAATGTTAGAAATAAAAATATCTTTCACTGTGGTATATATTTTATATTGGATCGTTACTACATTGTGGTAAGTGTATTTCTTTTAATATTTATGTTTATATGAGTGTAAAGACACACATAATTAATATTAAAATTTCTACAATCTTATGGGAGTTCCATAATTTTATTAAGAATAGTACTATTCTAAACAGCACATGATATCCTACAAGACATCCAAAATATATCCTGTAAATATCTGCGGACATATATAAAATATATTTAGGATCTCAGACAACATAATGTCTAAAATCAGGACATAAGACATCTTAAAGATAATCTTTAAGACGCCTTAAAGACGTTTATACGTCTTTAAGAAATCGTAAGACGTCGACATTTATACGTCTTTAAGAAATCGTGTAAGACATCTTAAAGATGATCTTCAAGACGTCTTATGTCCCGATTTTAGACATTATGTTGTCTGGGATACGATATAAAATATAGTTTTATAGATTATCTTAGACAAAACGAAGATCTGAGATTTTTCTAAATAATAGATTATCTTAGACAAAATAATTAGACTAAATAATAGATAATAGATTATCTTAGACAAAACGAAGATCTGAGATCTTTCTAAATTAAGAACGTTCGGAACGTTCTGAGACACTTTTCCCAGGATTTTTTTGGATACGTTCAAAATACATTCTAGGACATTTTGTGTTATCTGAATATCCGTTTGAATTATGGAGGATAATATGATAAATAAAATTACTTTTATATATATTATTTTTATATAAACAATAGTTTCTTGAGTCTAGTAATATTGTTCTTTAATTTCTAAATTTCGAATATAAATTTATAGAAGTATCAAGTAACAAATATATTGCGCGTGTATAATAATGATTTTTGTACATAAAATTTTTGCCGTATAACAAGAAATGATGTGCGTTATTCCGATATTTACCACTAGTATTGAAAATGTATATTATATCTAACATACATGAACTAAACATTTTCATACTGGAAATGAATATCAAAACACAGTCAATGATTCGATAAGAAAACTTAACTTCTGAAAAAAAACTAAAAGTCTTTCAGTTTTTATGAGTGCAAAAATTAAATTAAAATTAATAAAGCAAAATTTATTTACATATGATACAAAATATGTTAATAATTTTAAAATTTATTCAAAGAAATGGTTCTGATAAAATATTTAATATAGCTTACATTAATCCTTGAAATAATATATAAAATATAAAATACCTTAATACATATCTTGAACTAATTATACATGCATTGTGGTTTTTTTAGGGCTTATAGATATCTTATAGGTGTTCTACAAATATTTTCTATAATCTGAATTATAATCTGAAGAATTTATTTGATATTGCTTACGATGTCCCGAAGAAGTATAAGAATCATAACAGGTTGTCTTCATATCTTGTATATCTAAACAGAACGTCCTTAGAACAATATATCTGTGTGCTGTTTAGTATATGTAAATAACGAACGCGATTTATCGAATATTTTATATACATGTAAATTATTAAAAGTTATAAATTATTATTTAAATATTATAGGTCATTTTTTCAATTTGAAGATAATGATATGATTGAGCAGCCATGCACGGAATGATACGACTACGTATAAACATATACGGATGATTCCAAAATAACGTAAAAGAAGGTCAAATGCATGTATACCCGAAAAATTGTGAAAATATATACAAAAAAATATGTCCAATTAAAATATATTTGATCATACCAAATATATCTTAATGGAACTTTTCTGTTTGCTAAATTTATTTACTGTTAATAATTAATATAAACTATTAACTATAAAGTTGATTAATGTATTATTAATTATTATTAATTATAAAATTTTGCAGACATGGTAAAGAGGTATGTGATTTACACAATTTGATAACGTTAATTATATTGTTTAACGTTAATTATATTATTATGAAAAGACTTAAGTCGAAATGTAATACTGCAAGTATGCTAAGAAATAGTGTACTAAGAAAATTAAACTAGACGTTCATTTTTAACTCCGATATTTGTTAAAATATTTTGAGAAAATGCTATAAATATTCAATAGACAATATGTGAAAAATATCTTAACAATTTTTTACCAGTTATTTGTTTTTGTTATAATTTTATGACAATAAAAATAATATAACAACAAAGATATAAAAAATTATGTGTTAACTGCAACATTCATTAATCTATGTTAGTTTTGTAGATATTACCTGTTAATAAAATTAAACTACTAGAATTATTGTTTCTGAAGAATTAAATTGGTTATATGTTTAGTTATACTCTTACATAATTATATTCTGTTTATACCTTTACATGATTATATTAAAATAATAATGAAAAATTTGGCATGGTGATGAGAGTGAGAGCGACCAGGCGACGACACTTTTTCCTCATGCACGACATGCATATGCACAGCATTATATTATATCTGTGCTTGAGCGAGCACAACGGCGCTTTCAGGCTGCTTTCACACTCGTTGTCCGTCCCATATCGATTGTTTCATCTATTTTCCGTCCTTTTCTACAACTTACTATTCCTATAAATCAGATCAACCAGATCGAATTTGGTGTGAAATTCGGATAGATCATAGCATCTTCAAAAAGAAGTCCTACCAACAGATCTATTCCGTAACTTTTAATGATATCGTTACGTTGTTGTTACAGTGATATTTTTTTTCTTTGAAATATTTTATCTCTTAAACAGCATTTTTGAGAACACTCACAATAGTTTTTATTTCCAACAGATTAAAGTATTTTTTGATATACATCATTTAAACATTGTATAACCATTTATAGCATACAAAAGCACTATGTAATCACATAACAATATATAATTAATACAGATATCTTTCTTTAATAAAAATAAGCACAGCTTATTCAAGGCTGTTAGCCTTGACGATAAGATAAAAACATATATCTTATATTTCCTTGCTTTACGATCGATATCTTGTATCTGTTGTATGATCGAAAATCTCTCACGTCTAAAAACCATTTGTACTGACTGCTTTATGAATGAATTTCACGATGTAAAGCACGGTCGGCGAATTATATGTTACATAATATGAAATTTGCTCAATATGGTTAATAAATAATAAGTGAATTATATCTTACTAAATAATTTCAATTGATTTTACTTGATGCAAGATCAATATTTAATTACATTATATTTAGCGTTGTGGATTAGCACTTGAATCCGCTCAAAGACGTCAGCTCGTGTATATCTTTATTAACCATATGTTATTATTCTTTCGATATTATATCCTTATATATATATATATATATATATATATATATATATATATATATATATATATATATAT